AAAAATTAAGATTTGTTGACTGATGGCAGATGCTTTATGGCACTTCTCTAATCGGTCATAAAGTTGTTAGAACTCGTATGAATTGCGAAACTCCTAAGCATGCAATGAATGGACTTGGTAATAATATTTCATCATAAGTGTTTTGTCCTCTCACTCACTCATATTGTTAGGGTCTTAATGCATCCTTAAAGACAAAAATATTGGTGCCCCTGGTAACTACATTTCAAAGTGCACTGTTCCACACTGCGTACTATCCATCATAGAATATTTTGGATAAACCTGGAGCCTAAACATACACTTATTTCAAGCTTAGGCTTCTTACGAAATAGAATTATTACAAATGGGTGTACGAAAGTAGGCAGTGTTAATCCATGACTAAATTGTGTTGCACACTGAGACAATTTGGGATTTTGTGTTCTTGTTGAACTCCCGAAGTTGATAACTTTTGGAAGATCCTGAACGATAATTTTGATTGCCTTGAATTTTTTGTAGTATGTATGAGGACCTACAAATGGGACATTAAATGACTCTTAGGAAAATCAAAATTCAATTTTACTACACTCGACTACTATTTACCGAGTAGAGGCAGTTAAAGTGCTCCTAAGAGATAGTTTTTGCGTAGCTATTTTTAACACTTCTCTAAAGATAGAAACGGGCATAACGATGGGGTCGAGAGACTATCACCTAGGCGTTAAGGCTAAATCGTCCATCAGAAGTGCACAGCGCCAACGAATGTTGACACGTTGAATTAAACAAATGAACACTGTGTTTCAGCCATCGGTTGACATCGGGTGGCAGAATTCAGTTTCCACACTGACTTTCATCTGGTCGAAAGGGAAACCAACGCATTGGTGTGAATCATCCCGAAGATGCGTAAGCGATAAGAATTTACCTTTCATCACAAATTCGCAAGAGTTCTAGCAAAGATTTCATCTTAAAGCTAATTAAAACTAATTCCATGCTGCTCAGAAGTTACACCATGTTGGCCTCGAGGATGTTTGTGCTTTACGATTGTGTAAGGGTGTAAAGGTCGGCCTTGATGTCAAACCGGCTCTCCTATCATACACCTCGTGACGCCTTTCGAGAGGGCCTTGACTCACAAACCGCAGGTTTCGTCTTAGGTATGTGCAACTGAAGGCTCTGCCACTGCATTTTAGGTGGACGTTGAAGTCTCTGGACCATGACAATAATTTCTTAGCATTTCTACAAGCCAGCAATATATAGGCTGCTAATGTTTGCCAAGTCCTAATGTTTATTACGTAAATAATTTTTATAAAGCGGAACGTCCTTGCATAGTGTATTTTACGGAACAACGTTTTGGACTGAAAGGACGAGAGACGAATTCCAATATTCCAAAGACCACTAAAGTAGCATTTTGAGAACATTGCTGAGCAGTCAAAACAGGCTTTATTGAATGCGAAAACAGACAAGACATTTAGAAGCTACTTCCTAATTCTTGCCTGAAGCAACCCTTCCTTCTACTTTACAAAAAAAGGGAAAGAAATCAAGCAATAAAATAACGCAGACCATTTTCATGTTTACAAATGGCTGCCACCGTAACTACCGGATACAGCCATTTCTGCTTTTCGTGAATGCACTTTCTTTCTCATCCCCTTCATGTGTTGACTGCTCATAATGCCATGCAAAACTGTTTTATCAGATTGTCCACTGTCACGGAAACTCATTATCCCATTCCTTGTGCCTTTTTAACGAAAACGATCAACATTTACAATGGTGTATTTTCAACATCTTGGACTGTGTCGACTTTGTTTCGAAAACCCTCCATTCTTTGTGATTTGGTCAGTTTATCGAGTGCTGCCAGAAGCCAAAAGGGTAGTGCAGAATTCTACTCGAATTTTTGTTATTGTGAGATGTTATAAGCGTAGTTTTTTAAAGCACTTCGGCTTAACTGATGGCAGAATAGGATTAGACTTTCATGCTTCTAAGGTTGTAAACACCATCTGCGTAGTGTAGAAATGGTGGGTAAACAAAGTTAAAGTTTGTTTTACTTCGTTCAGAAGGGGTGAAATTGCAACACATTTTCATCATTTACGTGTAGAAGCAATTTTTACCGGATGTAGTTTTTATCAGGGCATAATTACCGACTTTGGAAATCCGGAAATGCATTTTGTAGACATATAGAATGCCATTTCCAAGCCATGGATTTGGCGGCGTTTTATCGTTAGTCCTTCCACTTATCCTGTTTGTTCAAATCCTCAAAAATGCCTCGCACAAACATTTGTGGTGTGCAGCCCTTTGCTTCCTCGTCATCCCGAAACCAGCAGGTGCAGGCATCAGAGGCAGCGCACTTCCCACTGGAAGTTAACAACCAGTAAATTTGACGACCTCAAATGCTGTAATTTACACATTTGCGCTAGAGACTGACCGAGAAGTTCTGGGAGGTCATTAAACCCTTAATTTTTGGATGTTATCAATTCTTTCGGCAAGAGTGCCACAACCTTCTCTTTCATTTCTTATAAGGTGAATTATTGTGATAGTATGCAATGCTCACTGGCAACTCTTAGGTGGATAAACAGATTTACAAAAAGTTGTTGCCTTAAATCTATGAGAGAAGTAAATTAATGTTTGTGAACACAGGGGGCAGTTCAGTCAGGCCAGAATCCATGTCTAATAATAAGTCTCAAGCAGCTCTTTTACTTTTTGGGTCTGTCTATACACAAAGCCTCACATCAAAACAGCGTACACAAACAAGGATGGTTGATAAACTTGGCTACTGTTAAATAAATAAACCTCCCAAACTTTCAAGGGCAAGTGATTGTTTATTTAAGGTAATCCCAGACGAGATGTTTCTCAGCCCACAGCTCACAAAGTAGACATTCATATGGCCGTTCAGCCAGCAGGGTAGAACATCAGAGTCGGAACGTCTAGCAAATTCATAATTTATCTTTATTAAATCTCCCAAGGGAAGCAAATCTTTCTGCAGAGGCAAAAGGCGATCACGCATGAATTATTTTATTTCTAATTTTGAGGGGTTAGCACACACGATATCTATTAAAACAAGCTGAGGAAGGCCGTCCTAGAGTGATTCAGCTCTATTAACAGCTTTTATGTCAAAGTTCCTTCTTTACTGCACATGGAAATCCAAATATTTACTCTGTTGCACACAAGACCAATCAAGTGCGGAATCCACATTGGGAAATAGAATCACCCCATCAACGTTTAGAAAAGACACTGGTCTGGTTAAGTATGAATTCCGTTTAGAAAATTTGTTTGAAATTTAAAATACTTTGTCAAGAAATAACATTTCTTTGCAATGCTTCATCTTATGTCTACATGTTTAGAAACTGTCTGGCTGCCTTAGTTTGGCGGAAAGTTTATCTCTTAATGCAAAGCTTTTTCTCAACTAATCTTCCTGCGCTGCAAATTGTGCCACTATAGGTTATTTCTAAGGAAGAATGCAAGACATCTCCGTCCGATTGCGCCTGTGGGTATGACAAGGTCAGCAAGTACGCTTCTAGTGGTGGACCGCGCGAGGAGGAACAGGTATAGGAGAGGACGCCTTCTCGAGGACCCTCAAGCCGTGGTGCTTATGTCTCGTTATTCACAAATACCGTTGTCCAACCCGTCTCGCGGTTCACAGATAATGAAAGCTGAACATGTTACATTATACAGTGCAAAATGGTTTCATGAATTGTGGCAACGTTTCAACCCTATAGCTTGGTTGAAAGCTGAAAAAGGCATGGATGAGACGCTTTATCTCTCTGTTTTTACTGTTTACGCTGCATTTATGTGATTGCTTGGGCAGCATAAGACAATCGAACTGCTATTTCTTCGTTGCATATGTATGTTTTGCTTCTTATATCCACGAGGAATATGACTGACCAGTGGCAACTGATAGGAGGATTAGGTCACCTCCCTTGATGGACGTGTAATCAGCAAATAATGGCATCGTATGGACTATTTTTGTCTATATTTATGTGTCCATTGCCACAAAAGTGTTCGAAAGAATTGGTATATAAGGGGAAAGTCAATTAAAATGAACTTGCCAGTAGTAACATTTATTGTGCGTGAAGATCCCTCCTCCGCCCTAAACTCGGGCTATTTTTCTGCATACTCCGGCTTAGGGAAAGTACAAACTAAACTTGCCAGAGAACTTTGCTGATATTATCAACGAAGCTGCATAAATGGTACGGTGAACTCTTAATCATATGCTTTAGATGTTTGCTGGACTTCAAATTCGCAAAAGGTCAGCCTCAGTCGACCGTCTTCTCTCGTATACAGAGCAGTCTCAGAGAGCCGCAATGAAACCGCAGTCAGTATTTAAAAGCGTTGGTTCGAATTTGCCGGCACCCTAGCCTTTCACTGAGCAGTGACGCCCCAATCCTTCTCTACGCAAGAGATTAATCAAGCGAGAGATAATGACGGCGCAGAGAGTTTGAGAGCTCCGATTGTTTGTCGAACTTTTCTTGTGACTTATAGTGGAACTTTGGTTCCTGGCACGCTACCCCACAAGCCTTTTATACGCTAACGATATACAAATTACCTGAGTATCATGCCTTCTTCAGTTGCCAGAACAATTTTAGCCAAAGTGCTTTATTGAACAGTGCGAAGCGGCGCACCACCTGTGCAGGAGAGCCTTGCATTAAGCCTATGAAGGTAGGCGCAATTTCAAAGCTACATTGATAACCAAAGGGTTAAAAATGTTGATACTGAACATCATCTCGTGCTTAAAGTACCTGAAAACACGTTATTTTCCATTCTTTTATTAAGGTACGTAGAAGACAGCTAATTGGAACGAGCTACTAAATATGGAATAGAATAGCCTTAAAAAATTCTACTAGCCATCAGATTAAATTGGCATACCTAAATTACATTATTTTCCACTATATTAATCTGTTTCACCGTCAATCCTCGCAAGAGCAAAAATGCGTAGACGTGTTTATGAAAACTTTAGATTAATATGCATAACAAATCTTGGCACGTCTAAAAAGCATAGATCAAAATATGGCGACCTAAATCGCCTGCTCAAAAGGCAATCTTTAGAGTTCTACCGGTTCCTTCACCGGAGTCATCATCACTCGAGCGAAGTCTGAAGGCAAAAGATCTTTGGAATGAGGTTCTCTTTAGTCTTTGAAATATATTTCAGCTTCTAAGGGATTAACATGCAACTAGTGTAACGATGCCTACCGGTTCAGGAAACATAAAGAGTGTATTCAATTCATTTTAGCCTAAATGGCCGCCCTAACAATTATCATTCTCTCTATTTGTACGGCAGCATAAATAGCGGGCCATTTTCAAGAACACAAAACGATGACTTCTTGTCCAGGCGTGAAAACTAAACATCCACATTTTTAAAAATGATAGAGCTTCTGAGCATTTTGCATTTAAATCAATCAAGGCTGCCCCAAATTGCAGTCCAATCCTTAAATGTTATGCGAGAATAGAGCTTAAAGTGTCTAAAATTACTCAAATTAATTTTACATTTAATGCAAGAAGTCGCAGCGAACCAATCTCAGTTAAAATTTCCATCAATCCAGTCACGCAGGTAAGATAAATAATATTTACCACTAAAGTAGACTTTTCCATCACCATCTGAGTCCGCTTGACTGCAAAGCGCCTCAACATCCTCTTCAGTCAGTGCCTCATCACCAGCGCGCAGCAGCTCCCTACTTTTTCGCCTTGTCAAATCATTTAAGTCCCGAATTACCGTATTTTGCTAGTCATAAAGTAGCCTTCTCCGCTTTCGTCAAAGAGTCGGAAGGCCTCGTACAGATCCTGAGTGATTTGTAGGTCGGATTTATACTCTTCCATAAGTAACAAAAACATCTTCTCTGTAAGGCGTGTGCGACCAAGACAACTAAATAATGAAGGGCATGGTTAAGTTGATTTTTAAGCACCTTTCAAAAATCTTTCGCAACTCGTCATCTGTAGGTGCGAATCCAGCCCTTCGCATAACACGGGCGAGTTTTTTCACTCGAACTGTGCCATTTTTTCCCCAAGAGAACTGTTTAAAAGCTTTGGTGCAGCGAGTCTTTTCATCACTCGTCAGGATATCCGTCATCTAGGTGGGCTTCCTATTAGTAAGTGACCCTCATTTTTCTTACCTCTCCTGCATTGCAAACTATACACCAGCATTTTTGGGTCACCACTTCGTAAACAAATAGTTTGACATTCTATTGGTTCAATGAATCTGAATTTTTCGCTAACGTTTAAATACTAGCTCTAATAGATTAGTTTAAGATAAAAATATCTATATTGAAGTTCTACGCATGAAAATTAGAAACTGTACGGAGCGCTTTTAATCAGATTTGTTTCTATAACTGAGTTAACCAAACATATGCCCACATCGGAATGACTTATTTTTCCGCATTTATGAAGTTTGCATTGGGACAGCGTCCCGAAGCTTTTAAAGGATAGAAAAAGAGCTAAACACTGAGGAATTATATTGGCATGGTTTCAAGACTGGATCGCCCGAAAGAGGTGGACTAGTGAAGCTCTCAAGTGGTGCTTTGCTATAACTGTGAGTGAGACAAACAAATAATGTATTTGATCTCCTCTTTTTCTTAAGCGTCATTTTTTGGTATTCTCTTTGCACAGCTTTCTACGTTAGCCATCTGCACGCACTCGGTGGTGTGAGAGAAACTCTTCCATTCTAGTACATCAGTCATCAAATTCGCATGCACATGAACTGCCTTACGTAACCTTTTTGATGTACATTGACGATTTTGCCGAATCTGGAGTTTTGACTCTTGTGAGGACTTTTTGGGATGAGTAACGTTCCGTTCACCATGCACTTCCACTGCGATTTGTAGGTGTATTGAATCATTGGTCATGTAGGGCTTTCTGGGGTATTATTTTCCATTCTGTCATCCTTGGCACCTTGATAGAGCCCGCGTACTGTCGAACTTGGATGTGCATAAAGAATCCACTATTAGAGGTAGTGCGATTCAAAAAGATTGCATTGCATCTAAAATAGCAGACATCTCCATCAAACACGCCCTTATATAGCCAACAGCTAGTGCAAAATAGAAACCATTACCATGTGTTGAAGACACTTTGAACGACCATGATTGAGATAGTCTCAAAAGATTTCCAATCCGTAGCCTATTCTCTTCTTCGATAACACTAAGGTATGGCGATTTTAGGCATAGGAATCAGGTCCTTTTTCCTTTTGGCGTAGGATCCACCTTCCACCCAAATGCTTACCAGAAGACTAGAAATGCCAAATATATTGACCATGTGCCTATGACTAAGGAGCTGCCAACATGATCCAAGGGATCTATAGCCTAGTGATACTAAATTGTTGAGCTAAGTAATGTTTCAAATGTTTTTAATGTGTCCTAGGGACTCTAGTCTTACATTACTTCGCCGAAACGCATTGCAAAAGTTTCTTAATTTATAAAGCTTACAAGATCATGGTTTTGATTATGTGTCGTTGCATTACCCTTGTCGGTTTTGACCTTTGAATTTGCAATTTTTGTTTCGTGATTTAAATATCATTTCTTTTTCTCATAAGGGAAAGTCCTCTCTGTTATCTCTACCATGAGCTAATCACAAAGCAAGCTTTTGGGACCTCCCCGTTTCAAGTTAATATAAACATAAAACGTTGAGATTTTGCTTTACTTTTAGACTATTGTTAATCCTCCATCGTTGTGTGCAGTGAAGTTGCATCTTAACGTTTTGTTAATCCTTTCCAAGAAATCGTTTTTTCTAAATTGCATTCATTTTCGTACGCCAGTTTTACCCTTTTATTTTATTTAACCGACAGTGTTGGAAGACAAAATTTCTTGCTAATGCAAAAGTGACTATGAGAAATTAGATCTTGTGGATATGGAGATGAATTAATCGGAAGGGAGCCCTATAAACGGACAACTATATATAACCATTCGAATTGTGTGTATGTGTGACCCGTATTAACGACGGTCAGTCTTCGCCCATCGTGTGAATGCAGTGAAATAGGGGAAAGCAGTTTCTTAGTTTGTTGCAACAGATAGATCTCCATGTTTCGTTTTGTGACCGCCTTCTTCATTAGTCTTATTAGCGACGCTATTAAAGTGTGGAGCAGACAGCTACATCCGGAATCTTTTGCCCAAACAGGAAAGCAGTATCCCTTCTAATTAGAGAAAAAAGAGGATTTAAATCTCATCCTGGTTTTACTTAATACAAGGAGGGAAATGCCTGGATATTTTAAGTCGATGTTTTTCCACAAACTCAAGAAAACCTCAACTAAATAAACATGCCTGCGAAGATTGCATGCCAAAATCAACCGTTAATTTGGAGAAAAAAACTAGGAACAAATAATTTAGTGAATTTTCTATCGAAGTGCTGAAGCTATATAAATAAGTAAATAGGGTTTCAAGATCAAATGGAGACTTTTAAGATCATAGTGACGTGAGGTAGTCCCTTGCAACACGCACTGCTCATTGCTTATTTCACAAGTCAGACCTCAGAGTGGTAGCTTTGATTTCAGATTCGACGATCACCCCTCGAGGATACAATTGTTGAGTATTTTGTAAGTGGCAACGCATGCATGTCAAATAACAGCCTTTTACAGCTTTTGGCTGATATGCTCTGAAAATGATGTCCATTTGTTTTCGGCTCTGTTCAATTCTGACTTTTAATGAGAAAGAGTCGTTTATTGTTAGGATTTAATAGTTTATCGACATCTCTTTTTTTGGACGTGCAGAAACTTAACTTTTAATAATTGCACTTGTTGATGTCGGCACGACCTTTAAAGCATGCTAGGTGGCCTCAACTCTTCTTTGTCAACGATCTATCGATAGCATTGCAACTTTGGACCTTAGAGATTATCTAGCTGCTACAAGCTCAGTTTAAAGGCACGTCTACGGATAGGAGGATTTAGAATTACCCCCAATTTGGGAGCTTTTTGCTGAATGAAGTGGCACTAACCACGAACTTTATATAAAAATGACGTTACGAATTCACCTTCTGCATTTTTACTAAGGCGTCAACTTTGTCAACACTACACCTCTACTAGTTGGATAAAGCTAATGGGGATGAAATGGCTGGACCACGTCGAAATGAGATAAACAGGTATTTAACAAATTACCCCTTATCAAATGACTCCACTTTAATGCCTATGTCTACCGACTAATGGTGGATATTCGTGTTGCCTTCACAATGGGGGTTTCACTGAATTGTAATGGTTGATGTGGTTGTCCGGTGGGTCATTTTTCCATATCACCAATATGCTTGAGTAACCAAATAAGTGAAGCTTTGAGAGAACATTTAACAGGGAAAAGGGATTCTGCCTTACGTTCAGTGCTTGTTAAGCTCGCAATTTAAATTACACGGATGCTTAAGGTCTCGGCATTACATTTATTGTTTCCTTCAATCTACAGAATTAGCTTTTGTACGAAATAAGTGATTTTTAACAGATTCATGACAAAAAATTTTATTCAATTTTTGGTCTAATAACTTGCATTTTTAACTTTAATCGCTGGTTGAGTTTTTGCAATTTCCAAACAAGGGCTGCCTTCATGAACGAACGAGGCTTGGTTTACGCTAGTCGAATAATCGCCGAAATTTACACTTCAGTGGTTGGACAATAGTAAGTATGTGGTCAGAATACACAGAAAAACAGTATCCCGAAAATCTTTTCCTATTTTGCAAAGCTGACCTGTTTTTCAAAGGAATAAATAATACAAAAAATCAGTTCACGTGGGTTCATTGTTCCTTAAATTCGACTTTTGAGCTAAATCACAGAGTGTGTGGAAAGTTTGATTTGCACTGCGCTCCATAAACGTGGGACAATCCCTAATTCCTAAAAGGATTGTGTAAATGACCAACCAAAGATTTAAAACTTACTCCAACTAATTACCGTTAGAAGGAAACCATCAGTAACATTTTCCTGCAACCCAGTGCTTATTGAACCTTTCGTTTTTCACTTGTTAAACATGTAAACTTCGTCTAGTCTTTTCCGTTAGTCTCCTAACCCTTCTGTACATCGACAATGCATTTTTCGCCATTAATTATTTTTTTCTTCAGGAAAGTCTCAAAGCTTTACCTAAGTCCCCATCGCATAATGATTCAAACACTTACTCCCTAGAGTCTAATCTTTAATCTTAGCTCTTCTCTTTCTTCTTAAAAAGTGCCCCACTCAAATAGTGTGTGCGGAAGTCCTTTTGGTTACGAGCCAAACGGTTATTCACCCATCACAATACTATCTTTCTTCGAGTTTTCAAAGGTGGACAGGGTAACCAAAAGAGTGGCATAGGATTTGGAAAGTGCTCAACATACTGACTTTATGTGGTAATTTATGCTTTCTTTGGTCCAATTCTGTGTGCAGGTGTGTAGTTTTTACCGGTTCGGAGCGTTTGTCAGTAGAGTTATAACTTGCACAAATCTGTTCCAAAGGAATCCAGAGAGTCCAATTTAAAAAGTAAGTAGTTCCCGGTTAATTGAAAAAATGCTGCACCTATTTTCTGCAAAATGCTTTTGTGAATGTAGACAGGTGGTTTCAAGTAGTTTGCTTTAATTAGCCTTTGTGTGATCTAAGCTTGTTTTAAGTAGTGCCTAGGCGTTGTGGTTACCTACTTCGCAAAGCATTTGTCAATTTTCGTGTAAAAGTCAGTTCTGAGTTAAATGCTTAGCGAATATTAAATGGCATGCAAACCCTCCCTCATCACTTCAGCTAGAGTGGTTTATCACATTAATGTTTTGTGCAGTGCTTCTGGCATAAGGGTCTTAATGTAGCTTCAATTTTTGACTAAAATAATGTGTTTTTGATTACTTCAGGCAGCATGATGCCAAATTGCTTCTCCTTTCTGGAAGTTAAGCCCTAGACTGAGAGGCGCTATACAATGATTTGGTGAACCTTTTTTGTCGAACTAGTTTAAATGAATTCGGGCACAAAGGGAGTCACAGCTATTTTGAGACTACGATCCTATCACTACGGGAAGCGGTGAGTGAAAACCCCGTTTTACAAATACGGCGCAGGTTAAAGTTCTCGTTAGTCCTACACCTTTGTCCGGCCTTAAAGGGGTCATGAAAAGCGACATTTTAAGACGCAATTATCACTCGTTAAGGTACTCTGTTGGA